GCTGAATGACCAAGTCTGCCTGTTTGGCAGGTAGAGCCAGTTTGTTATTTACCATAATATAGCCCTGGGCTATTTGAATTCCTCCTTTTGACATGAGAATTTGACGTTCATTAGGCTCATAAGTCGGAGTGATGGAGGGGACTGATAGGAAGAGAATAGGAGCAGGGTTTGCAGCAGAGTCAGTTGTGAGAGCCCTTGACGTTGCATCAGCCTTGTTATTTCCTGTGGTAACATAAGAATTGTCAGTTTGATGTCCTTTACAGTGGATGATGGCGACTTCAGTTGGAAGCTGCAAGGCCGCTAGAAGTTTAAGTATAAGTTTAGCGTTAATGATGGGGGACCCCTTGGTGGAGAGGAACCCCCTTTCCTGCCAAATCGCAGCATGACTGTGAGCAATAAGGAAGGCATATTTTGAATCCGTATAGATGTTGACTTTTTTCTGTCTGCTGAGGGTGAGGGCCCTGGTAAGTGCTATAAGTTCTGCCTTTTGGGAGGTGGTTCCTGCGGGCAACTTTTTTGCCTCGATTACCTGGTCGACGGTAACAATGGCGTAGGCAGCCAAGCTGTTATAGAGCAACCCCGATATTAAACGGGTTCCTGGCTGTGGGTCCTCACCCGCGCGCTTTAAAGGGACTTATGAATACTCTACTACACACACACACAAAAGGTTAATAAAGGTTTATTTACAAGAGAAAAGGAAATAAGGAAAATGTACAACTCAGGGAAAAAATAGGGAAATAAAGTCTTTAATGCGTCCTATCCGATCCGACGACCTGGAAACCCAAAGTCACTCTCAGAGCTGGCCTGACGCTGTGAGCTGGCGGAGAGCCACAATGGGGGATCCCCAAAGCCCACGTGTCTGCCTTTTATACACCTGGCTGCTTAACCCCACCCTCAGGTCCCAGCCACCTTCCCTTTGGTGGTGATGGGATTTGGAGTTCCCAGTGTCTTTGGCTTTGACCTGGGGTGGGGGTGGAGTCCACAAAGCCTGTATGGAATTTGCTTTGGGACCGCCTTTTCCCCCTAACACGCTGACCTCGCATGTCTACGCAGGAGCTGCCGTCTACAAACAGAGTCCAGTAGGCATCTGACAAAGGGGAGTCAGCCAAACCCAATCTGGAGGTTTGCATTTCTTCCAGGATTTCAGGACACAAATGGGCAGCAGAAGGGGGGCCGGAGACAGGCAGGAGAGTGGCTGGGTTGAGAGAATTAGACTGAGTGAGACTCACCAGGGGGTTTTCAATAAAGAGCATATGGAAATCCTGTAAACGGGAAGGAGTAAGAGTGGAGGAGTAAGAGTGGAGAGCGAGCGGTGAGACAGGAGGTCGAGCGGTGAGACAGGAGGTCGTGTGAGGAATGCACTTGGATGGGTCTTCCCAGAGTAAGTTTGAGGGATTCCCGGGTTAGTAGAGCTGCCGCCGCCAGGGCTCTAAGGCAGGGTTGCCAGCCCCTGATGGTGGGGTCCATTTGCCTGGAGAGATAAGCGACAGGACGCAGGGCTGGGCCCAGAGGCTGGAAAAGGACACCTGCCGCAATACCCCGATGTTCCTCTGTGAACAGGAGGAAAGGCTTTTCTGGGTCAGGAAGGGCAAGGGCAGGTGCCTTAAGAAGGGTATTTCTGAGTAAAAGGAAGGCTCTGCGGACCTCCCCGGGAGATTGGAGAGGGCCTTCCGGGGAGGCTTTTGCTGCATCATACAGTGGCTTGGCTAGGAAAGCAAAATTAGGGATCCAGTGTCGGAAGAATCCAGCCAAGCCTAGGAAGGAAAGGATTTGTTCTGCCGATTCAGGGGAGGGAAGGTCCCGGATTGTCTGCTTGGGGTCCACTGTCAGCTGTTTGGAGGAAGGAGTTAGTCGAAGACCCAGATAGACAACTGTAGGGACTGAGAGTTGCACTTTAGATGGGGACACACGGTATCCTTTTGAGCACAGGAAGTTGAGAAGTTGTGCAGTGTGTTGCTGAGATTGTAGTAGGGAAGGACTGCAGAGGAGGAGGTCATCGACATACTGGAGGAGAGTGCTGGGTTGAACGTTACATGACGAGAGATCATTAGCTAATGCCTGGCCAAACAGATGAGGGCTGTCCCGGAAACCCTGAGGCAGGACTGTCCAGGCCAGTTGCTGGGAAGTGTGTGTGCGTCCGGATCTTCCCAAGTAAAAGCAAATAGAAAATAGCATTGAGGATCCGGAGGGATGGTAAAAAAGGCATCTTTGAGGTCAAGTACAGAGAAGTGTGTAGTAGAAGACGGTATATGAGACAGAAGGGTGTAGGGGTTTGGCACTACAGGATGGATAGGAACTACTGCCTCGTTGATGAGGCGAAGGTCTTGAACTAGGCGATAAGAACCGTCAGGCTTTTTTACAGGGAGAATGGGAGTATTACAGGGCGAGTTGATAGGAATAAGGAGTCCCTTTCCCAGGAGTCGTTGGATGATGGGTTTGAGACCCTGACGATGAGTGAGGGAGATTGGAAACTGGGAGCGAGAAGGAAAGGAAAAGGGATCCTTAAGGCAGATGAGGACAGGGGTATGATGGGTGGCAATAATTGGGGTAGAGATATCCCATACTTGTGGGTTAACTAGGTCTGGCGGTAGAGGGGTATCCTGGGTTTGGGGATTGCAGTCAGGTAGCAAGGGGAGGATAAAAGCTTCAGCTGGGTTAGGAGACCATGAGATCGCAGCTCCCCATTTTGTCAGCAAATCCCGTCCTAATAAGGGGGTGGGACACGTGGGCATGACTAGGAAAGAGTGGACCAGTGGTTTGTTATTAAACTGACATTGGAGAGGTCCAGTGCTCCTGGGCTGAGAAGGAAGGCCTTCAACACCCGTAACCGAGACCTGAGAAGGATAAGTTTGACCGGAGTAGGTGGGGAGGACAGAGAAGGTAGCCCCCGTGTCAACCAAAAAGGAGGTCAATTTACCTGCTACCTTGAGCGTCACCCTGGGCTCCTCGAAGGTTATCGGAGTCGATGAGTCCCGGCCTCTTCAGTCCTCAGCCGCCAAACCCAAGACTGCCGGTGGAAGTGTAGCAGGGGCTGGAAGGACTGGCCCACCACGACTAGGTGCGACGGGACAGTCACTTTTCCAGTGACCCTGGACACTGCAGATGGGGCATGGTCCTGGCGGAGGGCGGGGGTTGGGGCAATGTTTGGACCAGTGGCCCTCCAGGCCACACTTGAAGCAGGTTCCTGGCGGAGGAGGTCGGTTGGGGCCCATGGGGCCCATTGTCCTCTGTGGCGGCAGACGCTGTGGTTGGAGGAGCAGGGCATGACGGCCTCAGGGCAACGACTAGGGCCTGAGCTTGAAGCTCAGCCTTTTGGCAACTGCGGAGTTCCCTCTCTGTCCTGTCCTGTTCCTCCCGGTTGTTAAATACTTTAAAGGCCATGTTCAGCAGATCCCGGATAGGGGTTTGAGGACCATCCTCAGCCTTTTTAAGTTTTTTTTTTAATGTCAGGGGCTGACTGAGATATAAAATGGGTAGCCAGAACTGTGGCGGCCCCGGTCCAGTCAGGATCAAGCCTGGTATAGCGCCGAAGCGCCTCAGTCAGGCGGCTGAGGAAGGCAGCAGGGTTTTCTGAGGTAGATTGGGTAATTTCTCTGAGTTTATCAAAGTTTACACTTTTATGTGCGGCTGCTTGGAAACCAGCCAGGAGACAGGTAATGAAACGGTCTCTCTGAGCCCTGCCCAGTCGGCCGGAGTCTGTGTCAGTCTGGTAATTCCACCCTGGCTCTTGGCGGGGAACAGCTTCAGAGCCTGGGGGCATGGTTGTGTCAGTCAAATGGACCTGATCTGCAAGGTCTTGGGCAGACTGGTAAACACTTTCCTTCTCTTCCGAGGTTAGGGTGGAGGAGAGGATAACGTAGATATCATGCCAAGTAAGGTCATAAGCCTGAGTTAGGTATCGGAATTCCTTGATAAAGGTTGTGGGGTCATTTGTGAAAGATCCAAGACGTTTTTCAATTTGAGAAAGGTCAGAGAGAGAGAAAGGAACGTGGACCCGGACAACGCCCTCTGCCCCAGCAACCTCCCTCAAAGGACACACAAGAGGCCGGTCCCTAGACCGAGTGTGGTGGCTTGGAGGTGAGAGGGGGGGGTTGGAGGGGTGGGAGTTGAGGGTTTTTCAGTTAGTACTGGATGTTCCTCTTGTCCGGGATAAGGAGGAGGGTGGGGAGCAGTAGGAGGTGAAGTGAGAGTTTCAGGAGGATCAGTGAAGGCGGATGGAGAGTCGGAGGATGAGGTGCTAAGAGAACCCACGGAGGAGACTTTGTTAGACCGGGTTGGGGTATTGCGGGCAAGTAGAACCTGGAAAGTGTGACAAGTTTTAAGGAAGGAGGGACGGGAGCGCAAGAGAAAGAAGGCCTGGACATAAGGGATCTCTGACCACTTTTCATTGCGGAGACAGAAATTATGTAGGTCTGTAAGGACCGAGAAGTCAAAAGTGCCATGCTCGGGCCAGTGGGAACCATTGTCTAATTGATACTGAGGCCATACAGTGTTGCAGTAAAAGACCAGACGCTTAGGGCATATATCCGGCCTAAGTCCCAACGGATTGAGATTTGAAAGAAGGCATCCCAGTGGAGTGGCCGGGCTTGGCTTAGAATTTGCAGACCCCATGGCTAACCCGGCTCCTTTTCCCAACCGACAGGGGGCACAGTGTCAGGAACGCAGCGTCCCACGAGCCTGACCTGGCCTACAGGGGGCACAGCCCCGGATCGCGGCGTCCCCCGGTCTGGTTCTGGCCAACAGGCAGGGGGCAAACAAGCGAGGGGGACGTCTCCACCGCTCGGTTGTTGCCTAGACAGGGCACCTAGTCTGGACGGGCGTCCCCAAATCCAGGCCTAGGTGTAACAGGGGGTCGGCTGACGTGGGCCCACGGTTTACAGGACAGCCGACCAAAACAGGAGGTTAGGAAAGGAGCCGAATAGCCAGAGGTGAGGGCCTCCCAGGAAGGAGGGTCAGGCAGGTGACTTACCCCAAGGATTAAGGCCGGTGGTGGGTGTAAGATGTCTGCAATGAAGAGAAGAGGTCCCAGGGACAAGAAGGCGGCCCCGGCACCAGGGGCCACGGCCTTCCCGGGTTTGCGGCACCAAGATGAAAGGTTCAGCGCGGTAAAGAACAGCCAGGCCAAGCTTCCTTGGGGGAAGGGAAAGTTTATTGCTCCCGGGCGGACCTCACAGACCCAAGGCAGGGGTCAGTGGAGTCGCGCACGTTGTTAGGGGGAAGCAGAGTTTTATAGGGTGAGGAGAGGTCAGGTGGGCTCGTTCGGCAGGGAAAGTTTGTAGGGCCAAAAAGGTTCATGGGGCAGGTAGGGGGTTCTTTGTCTGAGAAGAGACTCTTGGGGGGGAGGGGGGAGGTGCACCGCCTGAATCCTCCAGGCAGGTATCCCCATTCCTGCCCCCCAGGTGGGCTTCCTGGTTGGCTCCTGCATTCCAGCCCCCTGCATGGACCTTTCATGGTCCAACCACTGTGGAGAGCTGTGTGGAGATTTCTTGACCTACTAAACATAGAGCTTCCATATGATCCAGCAATTCCACTCCTAGGTATTTACCCAAAGGACACAGAAACATCAATTCCAAAGAGCACCTGCACCCCTATGTTCATAGCAGCACTATTTACAATAGCTAAGCTTTGGAAACAACCCAAAGGCCCAAAAATAGATGACTGGATCAAGAAGATGTGGTACATATACACAATGGAATATTACTCAGCATTCAAAAAAGATAAACACATGCAATTTGCAGCAACATGGATGGCGCTGGAAGGGATCATGCTCAGCAAAATAAGCCAGAAAGAAAAAGAAAAATACCGGATGGTCTTGTAACAGGGTGGTCCCCAGGAAAGGGGGAGGTTCCCTGCCCCACCCAAGGGAGGGTGGAGCTGAGCAGGAAGAAGAGAAGCTGAAGAAGAGACTGAAGAAGGAAGCAGGATGGAGCCAGGAGACCTGGAGGAGGCGCATGGAGCCTAGAGACACGTGAAGAAACTGCGCTTGTCTTTTGGTCGTGGACTGGGTGACACAGATGTGGGTGAGACCCGTGGGGAGGTGACCATGGCAGCTTTTATCTTGATGTTGATTTTGCTCTTTTCCTTCCGGGCTTGTCCGGTTGTTTGTGACCCTTTGCTGTGGGTCCCCACTGGAAGATGCTTTAGACTTGTGGCAGGCTTTGGGGCCTTGTTCTGGGCCGATCCCATATGGATGGACTTTTACCCACGAGGGGATGGGTAACTTTGGGTGCTTCATTTAGAAACTAGACTCTTTGCCTTACCTGTATTGTTTCCTAGTTTTATTAAAGTTCCTTCCCATTAAAGTCTCATATGTTTTGTGTTGATGCGGCGGATGGCAGAACCCATTTAGAATAGGCAGGTTTGCGGGGCTTGGGCTACCCCTCTCCCTGTCCTATAACAGTCTCACTCATAGCAGGAATCTAGAAAACTTAAATAAGGGACCTGGAAAATGAGTAACTATAAGAAAGTTAAAATCAAAATCAACAAAAAACTATGAACCAGAGACACTTTTGGGGGGGTGGGGGGCGGGAGGGGAGGGATTGGGGTCAGAATGGGGGGGTTGCAATTGTATGGGGAATATAAAATAAAATTTATTATTAAAAAAATAAATAAATAAAAATAAAATAAAATTTAATGCAAATAAGAAAAAAAAATAAATAGAAACACGGAACTCAATTATCTGTGGCGCTCTGGGACATGCATTGGAACCATAAACCCTAGAGCCCCAAGATCTCAGCTAAAGACTCAGAGATGGGTACGGGCTCACCCGGGAATCCAGCGCCAGGCCCGGGGTGGAGAGGAGGGGCCGCAGGGTGCCTGGGGGCGGAGGGGACCCATCCGGCAAGCAGAAAGGTTGGCTGAGCGCGCCCTAAGTCCGCGGGGCCAAAAGTTGGAAATGGATCCGTCCCTTTGGAGCGCAAATGAGAGTTGCCAGGGAGAGCTGGGGAGAGCGCGCGAGGTGCGGGGCGGGCCGGGGCGGGGCGGGTAGAGGCGGGCTGGGGCTGGCGGTGTTGCCAGCGCAGAGCAAAGCCAGGCAGTGGCATCTCCTGCTCAGAGCGCGGAGAGCTTGCTGGCGTCCCGGGCGCGCCCTCAGCGATGGACTCCCTGGCGGCCGCCCTCTGGGGCGGGCTCCATCTCCGCACGCTGCTGTTGGGTGCCGTGGTGTTTCTGCTCCTTGCTCATTTCCTCAAAAGAAGGCACCCAAAGAATTACCCGCCAGGACCCCCGGGCCTGCCCGTCTTTGGCAACTTCTTCCTCTTGGACTTTGAGAAGTCGCATGAGGACATTCAGCCGGTAGGAGAGGGCCGAGGTCCTGAATCTGACCTGCAGGGTGAGGACCTTCCGTGCGGGGGTGGGTGGCTGTGCCTTCCTGCCTGTAAATTGGGAAAACCTGTTTTGAACCTCATGGGCAACTGGGGTGACTCCCCTGCCCTTTCTGAAAGGGAACTGCTAAGAAAAGGAAATCTTTCCCTGTTCAGGAGTCATATACCTGGAAATGTAAATAACAAGTTTGCTTCCTTAATAAGCATATCTAACCAAGGTCTGGCAGCCTGCTAGGCGGGTTGATCTCCTGGGCCATCCTCAAAGATCCGTGTCCTTCCCCTTTTCCTGTGTCAAGAATTTGTACACTAACTAACCAGTGTTATCAGTGTAAGATGTTTATGTATAAAAGAAACCCTTTGTCCCTAGACCGGTGCTCAGATCTTATGGGACTATCCAGGTCTAGGACCTCATGCATGCGTAATAAAGCTTCTCCTGCCCTCACCATTCCTGAAGTACCACTTGCTCTTCCCATGCCTGGGTAAAAGGCTAGAATTTATTTCTGCAATATTTTTAGGGGTGAAATATTGCAAGTCACTGTGTAAGTGTGCCAGGCATATTACATTCTTGAACTCATTTAATTGTGCAGCCTGTTAAATATGCTACTAAGAGTGTGACTGGCACATTGGAACATGCTATTTATAATATGACCACTTTTTCCTTTTTAATATTATTATCCTTGGGGAAGAAATGCTATATACCTTCCGTTCCCGGCGCTACATCTCCCATGTGTAAAATGATGATAATATTATCTAAATTCTTACCACTTTTCAAGTGGACTGCCCCCACAATCACTTTAACTGGGTTCTTCAGCTTGAGTCTCCTCTCCCTGCTATCTTTTCTCACTAAAGCAATTCTTTTAAAATGTTGTTCCTCTGCTTAAAATTTCTTAGTACCTCCCATTGCCTGCCAAATTAGAGTCCTTAGGGAGCCACATCTAACCCTCCTTGACCCAGCCTTCCTCAACCTCTTCCCACTAGGGTTCTCTACCCTTGGTCACTCTGAATTCCTTAAAATTCCCTCCAATATTCAATGTTCTCTGGAGAATCCTCAGCTGATTTCCCGCCTCTCAACTCAGGTTGCTTGCTGAGAGATAATACTGTGTGAGGTGGTTGTGAAGATGGTGGCTGGTCAGCATTTAAATGGCTTAAGTAGATACACAACAAATGTTAGTTTAGTTTCCTAGAAATACCTGCAATATTTTAAACACATGCCTATGTGTTCAGTCACAACCTTGAGGTCTCATGTGCTTCCCAAGCTAATCTAAAATGGACCCCAGCACCTGGAGAGCAGGGAGAGGAAAAAGGGTCAGGTCTCTCTAAGTCTCTCAAGTTTGGTAGGTGGCAGTTTTAAAGAACATGGGACCTAACAAAGATTGTCTTGCAGAGATGACAAATGTCCCATGCATGCTTTAAAAAAATGTATATTCTCTTTTTGGGCAGATTGTTATGTATGTGTCAACTAGATTTTTTTTTTAAGATTTATTTATGTATGCATACAAGAACTGGGGGACAGGCCAGAGGTATGGGGAGTGGTGAGAGGATTCACCAGAGAGTGGGGAGCAGAACAGGCAGACTGACTGAAATACACTGCTGAGGGGAGCCGCGGGCAAGACAGGAGAGGTCTGCTGCGCCATGTGAGTCACCTCCCTGGCTAGGGATCGAACTTGTGCTGCAGTGGCTGCAGGATAACTTCATAGTGCTGTGTCTTAACCTGTTGCGCCACCAGGGAGGCCCCCCTGTGTCAACTAGATCTTATTGAATGATTGTATTGTTTCGGTTCTCTATATCCATGCTAACTTCTTGTCTACTGATTCTATAAATTACTAGAAGAGGCATGTTGAAGTTTTCAGCTATGATTCCCAGTTTCTCTTTTTCTCAATTTAGATCTGGTAGGTTTTCTCTTTATGTGTTTGGCAGCTCAACTATTTGTTGCATATACATCAAAATTGTTATGTCATCTTGATGAACTGACTTTTTAAAAAAATCAGTATATAATGTCCCTCTTTATCCCAAGTGATTTTCTTTACCTGAACTTTACCTGATGTTATATAGCCATGTCAGCTCCCTTTTGATTAGTATTTGTATGGTATGTATTTTTTTGCCTGAATCTACTTATACCAGTATACTTTAAATGAATTTTTTACAAATAACATATAGGTGGGTAATACCTTTTCATTCTATCTTTGTCTTTTAATTGGTGAATTTACATCATTTATATTCAACATAATTATTGCTATGTTAGGAATAATTCTGCTAATTTTATTTTTAATTTTTCCTCTTTTTAATTTCTCCACTATCTGATTTGGAAATTCATCTTTTCTTTCATTAGTTTCATATCCCTTTCTGCCAGCATTTTAGCATTTATCATCATGTACTAATACCTTAGATTTTTCTGCAGTCAACTCCCAAGAGAGTTTGACTCTCTAAGGATACATGCTATCATATTGATCTTTGTACTGCTGGGCATACTTCAATAATGATGTCAGAAGATACTTGGCAACTCTTAAGCAACAAAACTCATAAACAATTAAAGCCTATTGAATTAAACGTGATTTTAATTTCAACTGATTACTTCTCAGAAACCAGGGATAGTCCCCTAAGAATGACCTGTGAGAGCAGGATCCATAGCCAAAATTTGTAGGTCCCAGGAGATTGGTGAACCCCTGAAACAGCATGCATATGTAACTGTTTCATGTATTCAGGGTTTTCTGAAGAGTAAATCCATGACATACGCTAGATTTTCTAAGCATTTTATGACTCAAAAAAGGCTACCAACCACTGTCATGACTTTTTTCACTGTCATGAGGTTGTGCTTAAGGCCTCTGTTTTTTTCCTTATTTTGCTTTATTGGAGAGAAATACACTTTATGAAAACAATACATACACAATGAGCCAACAATATAAATTAAAATTTAGTGAATGAGAGATTCTTACCCTTCATTTTGCCTAAGAACCCATACACAACTTTTTATTGGAGCTTCTATATACCAATGAGCAAAAAATTAATTTCCCTCACAAAAAATATTAGGGTATATAGCTAGGTATTTTTTTTAAAAAGACATAATATTGGAGGAAATATAGAAATTTAGAAAAATAGAAACAACATGTATTGCATTTTTTTCTATTTTTTTTTTATTTTTTACCTATTAGACTGGTATATACACACACACAGCTCAGTACAAGGAACAGGGGTGGGGGGTACTGCAAAACAGACCCTCTCATCTTCCACAGGTGGGAGTAAGAGTTGGTACACTCTTCTCCTGTCCTCTCTTTGTGTCTTTGTCTTGTTGGTTCTTGAGTTCAAGCACTTAGATTAAGTTGTATCATCTGAACTTTATATCTCTTGCATGGTTTAATCACACTTTAATCGACTCACTAGTACTCCACTTCTAATTTTTCTCTATGTCAAACATTTATTTTGCTTATGTTTTTAAATACTTAACCCTACATTTGGAATTCCATCCCTCTTATTAAATTTACTATCTCCTATTTCTTTGGTTTGTCTTTTATAGCCCCTATGTCAATCCTTTTTCTTGTTCTATTTTCATTTCTGATTTAAAGCCTCTTTTAGCCTCCTGAACCACCTTATTTTTAACCTTTGTTCCAATAGTTCTGTTCTTTTTTTTTTTTTAAATAACTGGATTAATGTTGCACTTTGAAAAGAATGCTCTACCATATGAAGTCTTCTCAGATGCACTCAGATTCATGTATCTACATCCATGTAAAGCAAATGGCAGTATACTTGGCACAGTGCACTTAAGAATTGTTAGATTGGGGTCTCCCCAGTGGCGCAGCGGGTTGAGCGCAGTGCTGTGAAGCTGTCCGCAGCCCCTGCAGCGTGGGTTTGATTCCCGGCCAGCCAGGGAGATACCCACGTGGCATGCAGACCTCTCCTGTCATGCCCGCTGCTCCCCTCAGCAGTGTATTTCGTCAGCCTGTTCTGTTCCCCGCTCTGTCTCTGGTGAATCCTCTCACCCCCCACATCTCTGGCCTGTACCCCAGCTCTTGTATGCATAAATAAATAAATCTTTTTTTAAAAAAAAGAATTGTTAGATTGTACCATTGTCCATGCAGTGACTTCAGGAGGTCATTCAGCCTGTCCATGGCTACACAGCTGATTACACCACACCATTTTTGATCCAATTCTGTTTGATCAGAAATACACATGGGCAAAAGTTAATTTCTGTAAATATTAATGGAGTGCTCAATCCCTCCCAAGTATAAATTGAGATTCTAGGCTGTATGCATTGTCAGTGAGGAGTCATTTTGCTTAAGCTGAGATTTTCACCTGTTCCAAAATCATGCTTATCAAATTAGTCAAGAACTCCTTTTGTAATGTTGAGAGAGTTCATCAAGGCATTCAGCAAAATGAAATAAAAAATCTGCTTGATTTATGTGGAAACATTCCTTTCATTACTTAGAAGCGAAGACATGTACTTTAGGGGCACGGGAACTTGAGATGGAATGTTGGCTCTGTCCTTTCTAGCAAGACAGCAAACACTGTACTAGAGATGGACACAGACTGAGGGAAAACTCTGGCCCAAAGAACAATGGAAGGATTTAGTTCAAACTTGGTTTTCAATAGCAGAGCAGGATGGTGGCATGAGACTGAATCTATTGTCTTTGCTCTGACTGGGATAGTGGGGTCGAAGGTGCTAAAGGTGACAGGGGGGTGCATACGTGCATGGGGGTGGTAAGGAGATGCTTCAGGTACCTGGAGGAAATGGAGTGCTTCTGTTTGATACCACTATAGCTAGAGACAGACAAGAAGCTACGGGTCTACTGAAATTATCTCTTAAACAGTTTCGGAAAGACTTTGATAACCATTCACTGTCATTCATCTCAAATGTGCGCATATCTGCACATTGGTGCATAGTAATGACACACCCCAACACTCTTCCATTTTCTCTCTTTGTCTCACCTCGCCTCACCCAGGCCCCCCCATATCACTCTCATTCTCACTGCCACTGCCACTCCCACCAAACTCTAAGATCCTGACACCATCTCAAGTTCATGTCTTTGTCCTCCAGTCTTACATGATGCCTGGCAGACTCCCTCCGCCACTTGATAGATAGCTTGGCTACCATTTGTTTCCCTTTTCTGAAAGATAAGGAAAATAATGATTAACATAGAATGGTTGTGAGATAAAATGTGAAAGGCACGCAACACGGTGCGCCTTCCTCTAGCACAATCACCCATGAGCTCTTATCCTCTCTGTTGCCATGACCACATGTCCAGATCCCTTTGAACACACAGCCCGTTCATTCCTCAGAGACTCATGTGGCCGTGTGCCAGGCACCAGAAAACAAAGTGTCTTTCACACTGCTGCTCTCATTCTTTTTTGCAAAACCCTTTGAGGGAGGAATAATTATCCCCCTTTTATTGCAAGAGAACTAAGTTTCAGGAGCAATCTTCTCTAGAATCTACAGTTCGTGTACCATAGAGCCAAGATCACATATGACTCCAGAGCTAGAGTGCTTTTTTCCATATCTGGCCCTAGGCCTATAATGAACTCTCTATCACCGAGCCTGTGTTGAGGAATGGAGTATTCATTTCTGGATAAGGAGATATTTTACTGAGAAAGCCATGCTTGCGATACCATTCTCACACTAAGCATAGCTCAGCTTTCTTTGGTGAGGCACATGTGCAAATCTTTCCCTTCACCTTCTCCAGGAGGCTTGAGGTTAAAGACCACATGTATTTTGCAAGAGTTAAATCTTCATGCCTCTTGCTCGGGACACATCCTGGATGCTCACTTAATTCATGTTGAGTGAATATGCGAATGGGTGCTGTATAAGGACCATGAGTGTTCTCTAGTGAATCAAAAGTGATCTAGATGAGTGGAGGAGAAGGGGTAATAGGAAGAAACCTCCTCATCAGAAAAAGGCATACAAGTACATCTGTCCACACAGACTATCCTCAATAAAATTCCCACTCCCAGCTACAGACACCCTCTATCCCTCCTTTCCTGGACGCACAGCCCCTTGCATATTCAACTTTGACTGTTCAACTATTTTTCAGTATGTGAAGAAATATGGGAACGTTTTGAGCCTGGATTTTGGTTATATACCTTCAGTAACTATAAGTGGATTGGGCTTAATCAAAGAAGCCCTTGTCAACCAGGACCAAAACTTTGTGGACCGCCCCGTAATGCCTCTTCGACATCATTTCTTTAAGACAAATGGTAAGTTTCAGAACCAATGTAAGATGTGCATGCTTGATATTCTTATGGTCTATGAAAGGTTCCTCTGATTCTATAATTCTCCATTATCATCAAAGACCAGATTCATTATAAATTTCCTACCATTAAAGGAAGCTAGATGCTCACAGTTCCCTGTTGAGGGCATCTTTTCATGGATTTGGCAGGGTCAGCCCTAATGTCAGGGGTTTGAGAGAAACTGTGCCTCCTGCATGAACTTATTCTAATTTTAATAAACACATAACGACATTTCTCTTTTGTAACAGAAGAAGAGGCATCCTCATAAAGAATGACTTTTTATCCTTTATGGATGACCATAAAAGCCATCCCCGTAGTGCATCTCAAGTCTTCTAGTGCATGTTAGAAAAGTTTAGGAAGAAAAGCAGTTTGTCATGAATACTTAATGTTATCACTAGGTAAACTTAACCATTTACAAATCTAGATGAAAAGCTGAAGACTGTTTCTCTAACAAAGCGCTACTTTTTTTGGTGCTTCTCAGTTCCTCTTTGAAATTTTGTATCCATTCCCTCCCTATCCACTTACTTTATTTACTATCTGCCATGTGAAACACAGTGCATGAGTGATATACCAGTCAGCAGGACAGATAAAGCCCATATCCTCACGAAACTTTCATTCTATTCAAGAAGTATTGATGAACTTAATGTTATTGAATATAAGAACAGGATACACTTATTAAGGGCACCTTTTCTAGCCCTGAAGTTCAGGGAAAGTTAATATAAATAAATATCGATTCAATAAAGAAGCAATCAAGCAGAGAAAATGGGATGTGAAACATCCCAGAGGTGGGAAGAAATACAGTGAAATGAAAGGTGGCCAGTGTTTCAAGCACATGGATAAATGGATATAATTAAATGGACATGAAGTTGATGAGCTACACAAGGAATCATTTATGCAAGTTCTTGTTAAAAATGTTGCTTTTAAACCTTTTTTTTAAGATTTATTTATTTTTATTTATGTAAGCACTGGGTACAGTCAGAAGCACAGGAGAAGTCTGCGTGCCATGTGAGTCTCGCCCGGCAGCCGGGGGATCGAACCGGTGCTGCAGAGGCTGCAGACAGCTTTGCAACCCAGCGCTCAACCGCTGCACCACCAGGGAGGCCCATGCTTTTAAACCTTTTAATAGGAGGTTTCAGGTAGAGAAATGAATCACCATATTTAAACAATATCTTTTAAAGACCTACTTAGGCTGCAGTATAGGGGATAGAATAAAAGAAGCAAGAGACTGTTGAAGTATTTCAGATTAGAGAAGGTGGTAACTCAAACTACAGAGGTGGCAAGAAATGGCAATGCAATGGATTAGACCAATAAAGTAGCAGTGAAGATACGTGGGTTTAAAATGTTCAGGAGATGGGCCTCCCTGGTGGCGCAAGGGGTTAAGACTCAATCTATGAAGCAATCCGCAGCCACTGCAGCACGAGTTCGATCACTGGCCAGGGAGCTACCCACTTGGTGCAGCAGACCTCTCCAGACTCACCTGCTGCTCCCCTCAGCAGTGTATTCAGTCAGTCTGCCTGTTCTGTTCCCCACTCTGTCTCTGGTGGATCCTCCCACCCCCCTGCACCTCTGGCCTGTACCCCAGTTCTTGTATGCATAAATAAATTAATCTTTAAAAAAATAAATAAAATGTTCAGGATATAAATCCAATAAGACACAATGACCTAGATGGAAGGGGAAAGGGGGAAGAATGAGGTGTCGAGGTAGACACACACATGGATAGATTATGGCAAAAGGAACATTTGATGGAAGATAAACTGCTCAGTTTGACTTGGTGGGTTGTATAAAGAAAATCATTAATTCAGTAATGGATATGCTGAGTTTAAAATGCCTTTTAGTCAGAAAATCAAGCAGGCAGTTGTGTATATGTCACAAGACCAAGGAGAGAACAGATGGTCACTATTAATAGATGTTATTTAAAATTGTAGCAATTGCTGAGATTTCCCAGAGTATAGAGTGAGAACAGAGAGGGTTTTAGGCCTAATCTTGAAAGACTCGATCATTTCAAAATTTGGTAGAAGATGAACTAGCAAATGATATAGGAAGTTTTCTGCTACCAGAGAATAAGGAGGGAAATCAGGAGAGCAAGGTGTCCTGAGTACCATCGGAAGAACGTGATGAAGAAAGAAAAGTCTCATGCTGCTGAAACACCAAGTAAAATGAGGTTGAAAAGTTTCCCTGGATTTGACAAGGAGAATGATTTCACTGAGGTGTTAGAGGTCAAAGACAGGTATTAAAAAGAACTGAAGAGTGCTCTGAAAATGGTGACTTGAGTGACCTGACTTATCCATTCTATAAAATCAGTGAAGGTTTGTTGATTACACCAAGATGGTTATTCCCTTTGCCTGTGCTATTCTTTCTGCATGAATTCTTCACTATTCCTTGCTTCCTTTAATCATCCCTTCATCTTTTGGGGTCCTGCTCACATGGGACCTCTCCTAGAAAGCCTTGCCTCCATTCAAGTTTGGATTTTGTCTTTTCCATGGGTGCATTCTTAGTATGTAGCATGCCATACATACTTCAATATGTATACATGGCTAGGAATCATGATTTTGGAGTCAGACACACCGTGAATTTGAATGTCTCCTCAGCTACTTATTAACTATGACCTTGCCAGGTTTACTTTATTCCTGTACATCAAATTTCTTATCAGCAATATGGGGGCAGGGGTAATAGCTGTGTCTTCCTCATAGAGTTTATGTGAACACTGAATTACATAAGACATAAAAGTTACTAAAGTGCCTAACATTGCAAGCAATCGGGAAATGTAGTCATTGCCTTGGAAGTATTTCTGTGAATAGTTTTCAAGTACCTTAATGTATTTCATTTTCCCTCCATTTGCTACAGATATCTGTCATTAGCCAGATATTCATATTATAGAATTAGAATACCACAATGTTGGCTTTTCTTTCCCAGGATTGATCATGTCTAATGGCCAGGCATGGAAGGAGCAAAGGAGGTTCGCCCTGACAACACTAAGGAATTTTGGTTTAGGAAAGAAGACCTTAGAGGAACGCATCCGGGAGGAGGCCCAGTTCCTCATTCAGGAAATAGAAAAGGAGAAAGGTGAGTGTTTCACATGACAGATGCAGGAGGTGGTGGCTTATTGAGTCACTGAAAAGATACCAAGTGTCAGTGCCTGCCCTCTCTCCAGCCCTGGGTAAGACAGTTGAGATTTAACAGTATAGCTAATCACAACCCTATCTTCTTGGAGTTCTAGAATAAGCACAAGAGGATGGCTTTAAGTCCATTGCTAATTTTATTTTATTTTTGACAGTTCTGCTAATGTTTATTTTCCCCACTACCACCCTTTCTATCCCCTTGTCTCTTCCCTTCACACACTTTAAACCTGAGAACCTTCATAGTGTCCATTGACGTTCACTGGTTTTGGAAAATGTTTCATATTATCAAACTGTCTTCTAAATAAATGTCCAGTATTTGTTTTTATCATTTTGACTTGCTTTACTATACATAATTCTCTCAAACTCTTTCCATTTTATTGAAAATGGCTGTATTTCATCTTTTTATATGGCTACGTGCTACTCCGTAGTATGACTATACTACATCTCCTTAATCCAATTGTCTCTTGATGCCATTTAGGCTGCTTCCACTCCCTGGCTGTTGGAAATAATGTTGCTACGACATTGCGGAACATAAGGTTTTTTGTGTTGATAGTTTTATTTTCTTTGGATAAATACCCAAGAGTAGGATTGCTGGGTCATGTGGGATTTCCATTTTTAGTTTGTTTTTTTTTTAAAGATTTACCTATTTATGCAAACAAGAACTGGGGTACAGGCCAGAGGTGCGGGGGGTGAGAGGATTCATCAGAGACAAAATGGGGAACAAAACAGGCAGATTGACTGAAATACACTGCTGAGGGGAGCAGCGGGCAAGCCAAGAGAGGTCTGCTGTGCCATGTGGATAGCTCTCTGGCCGTCCTGGGATCAAACTCGTGCTGCAGAGGCTGCAGATTTCTTCATAAAGCTGTTCTAAACCCCCCACGCCACCAGGGAGACCCCATTTTTAGTTTTTTTAAGGTAAATCTAGATTGCTTTCCATGATGGTTGTACCAGATTACATTTGCACTAACAGTGAAATGGAGTCCCTTTTTCTCCACAACTCTCCAATGCTTGTTGTTGGAGGTTTTTTTCATATCAGCCATTCTCACGAGCATGAGAGAGTATCTCATTGTGGTTATAACCTGCATCTTTTTATTGAAAGTAATGATTAACATTTTTTTCATTTGTCTGTTGACCTTCAGGATATTCTTTTTTGATGAATTGTCTGTTGATATATGATATCTGACTGTCTGTTCTTCTGCCCATTACTGATTTTAACCACCCTGGACAACAGTTTAACTTCCCAGGCTTTGGCTGAGTACTTACTGTATGTTAGATCCTATGTGGGGACCTGTAGCCAGAGCCTCAGATGTGATTCTATACTCAGTGTCTTAGGTCATGTAGAGTACACACTCCATAGAAAATAGAAACAAACCCATCTAAAGGATCCATCGCTTCTTCTGCCTCCAGCTCAGCCCTTTGACCCCCACTTCAAGATCAACAATGCAGTTTCCAATATTATTTGCACAGTCACCTTTGGGGAGCGCTTTGAGTACCAGGATGATCAGTTCCAGGAGCTGCTGAGGCTGCTGGATGCAGTCACATGTCTGGAAACTTCAGTGTGGTGCCAGGTAAAGCAGTTTTCTTTTTATAACAGTTTTCTAGAGGTCTGGCTACTCACCATTCATAAACCAAAACTTGAGATTCAAGAGTAGATGGGAGAAAATCAGGTTTAGTTAGAAAGGGAGAGGTTAAAGAGTACTCAGCATCAGGGTTTCAGGGAAATAGGCAGGGCTTTCCAGAGCTGAATGCATGCCCTTTTATCTTCTAAGTTTGGTCTTGACTAGATTTGTCATAGCACTGGTGAGTGTGATTTTGACTATTCTAATGAGGCTGTGTGTGGGTTAACCCTCCATTGTGGTTTCAGTAAGTTTTTTCTGGTTTTCTCTGAAAGGAAAGGTAAACAGAAGCAGAACAAGGATAAACAGGACAAGGACAAGGAACTTATGTTTACTAGGCCAGTGATAATTCCCATCTCCTGTCTATATCTTGGTCCTCATTCTTGATTGGCAATTGCTAGAGGTACGTCTTCTGGAAATACTTCCAGCTGAATGCAGGCAGAGGATTGGGGGCCCACAGAGGAGCAGAATCCTAGCTAATCTGAGTTGTTGTCACAGAGTTATAAACCCAAATGTCTAAGCCCTTGACTAATGATAATTTGGAAGTTTTAGTATCTCCCCTTCTGGAGACAAAAACAACCATGTGATTCAGGAGACAAGGGCCAATGATCAAAAGAAGTAAGCATATTAGACTAACAGTGACCATAGGACCAAAGTCCCATCTGTCCAAGCTAATTACAAAAGACTTTGTTTATAATAGAAGTTCAGAGCCAGGAGTTCAGTTTTTCCAAGCTGTCCTGCCTCTGGGTAACTCCTTTATCTACATTCTCAGTTTCCAGCAGGCCTTGTAGCACACCTCAAGGTAGTTGCTGTGACTCATCTGTAAACAAGACTCAGCGATAAAGTTTTTTTTCTTTTTGTGCTCTTCATGTCTGGGAGCAATTTAACCATTTTGCCTTGCTTACATTTCTACATCTTGTTAAGGATTTGGGGGCTGATAGCAGACACTGATGGGTCTTTCCTTTTTTTTTTTTAAGTTAAATAAAACTTTTTAAAATTGACCTCAGCTATCTAAAATCAATCTGTTGACTTTAGTGGTTTGATATGTTGTTTAAATATTTGCTGTATACAAAGAACATTTTTACCATTCCTGTACGGCACAAAAGTTGACATGCCTTATAACTATGTACTTATGTTGCTTTATTTAAAAGACACAATATTGCATTGCCTTTGTGTCCCCTCACTTCCCCCCCCCCAGTCCTCCTACCACCATCCATTCCTTTTTTTTTTTTTAAGATTTATTTATTTATTTATACAAGCACTGGGTACAGTCAGAAGCGTGGGAGGGTGAGAGAATTCACCAGAGTCAGAGCGGGGAGCAGAGCAGGCAGAAGGACTGAAATACACTGCTGAGGGGAGCAATGGGTGGCAGGAGAGGTCTGTGCACCATGTGGGAGCCCTCACCTGGTGGCCAGGGATCGAACCGGTGGTGCAGAGGCTGCGGGCAGCTTCGCAACCCAGCGCTCAACCACTGTGCCACCGGGGAGGCCCTCCCCCTTACATTCCTAGCCTCCTGAGAGGCACTCTTCTGTAACTGGCCTCTTGCTGGACATATTATTATAAAAGTCGTCTGTATTAGTGCTCTGTAGAAACTATTCTGAGTAGTATTTCACTGTAGGAATTGCCACTGTTTGTTGCTCTAGTCTCTATTTATAGACATTTGGATTATTTCCAGCTTGAGAATGTCTTCAATAAGTCTGCCACTAGCATTCTTAAAAACTTGTTCATGTGGCTATACTTCTCTTGCATATGTATCTGGACATAAAGGATGCCTAAAGGCTCCCAAAGCAGTTGCACTACCTGTGTGGTGATCACTTGATATTACCAAATTTCTAATTTCATGATGTATGGACCTTTGGGTCCAAACCTCACCCCTTTCTTGAAGAATATACTAGGCAGAGAAATAGCATATTCAAATGCCTAAAGCAGGAAGATCCTTGATGTTATCTAAGAGATCTATAGGCTGGACTGAGGAGAGTAAGGGAGAGTAAGATGGCAGGAAGTGTTCACTGAAGGAGATGACAGTTGCATGAGGGGTCAAGTCATGTAGAGCTTACAGGTCCAGGCAATGATGTCAAACTAAGTGTCATTGAAAGTCATTGAAGAAAGGAGAGCGCAGGATTGATATGATCTGATTAATCAATGAAGTGAGCTCTCTGGCAGTGCTTTAGAATATAGCCTGGGAATGAAGTTAATCATGGAATCAGGAAATCCGTTGGAGGCTATTAGGCTGCCAGGTAAGAAATACTGGTGTTTTGCACAAGGGTAACAAAACAATGGCGGTGTGAGAAGTGGTCTGCACTGGCTACATTTTTAATGGAAGGCTGAAGTGCTTTCTCTAGGGCAAACAGAAGAGGGTGAGAGAGGTAGGATTAGTCAAGTGCGACTCCAATGGTTAAGTAAGGAAATCGGGCACCATGTCTCCACAATTGTATTGTTTTTCTCAATTAGCTCTACAATGTCATACCAAGGATAATGAATTTCTTTCCTGGACACCATAAAAAACTCTTCAACTACTGGGAGAAACTGAAGTTGTTTGTTGCTGATGAGATTAAAAACCACAGGAGCGACTGGGATCCTGATAAACCAAGAGACTTTATTGATGCTTATCTTAAGGAAATAGAAAAGGTAAGGAAACCAAAATTATTCCCTAAGTTTTGTTCCTTTTTTCTTAAAGATTTATTTTTTGAACAGGGGTACAGGCCAGAGGTGCAGGTGTGCAAGTGTGTGTATGAGAGGATTCACCAGAGACAGAGTGAGGAAAAGAACAGGCAGACTGACTGAAGTACACTGCTGAAGGGAGCAGCAGGTGTGGCAGGAGAGGTTTGCTGTGCCATATGGGTTGCTCCCTGGCAGGCCAGGGATTGAACACCTGCTGAGGAGGCTGTGGATAGCTTCACAGTGCTGTGCTTAATCCTTTGTGCCACCAGGGAGGCCCCCTAAGTTTTGTTCTTAAAGAGCAAATGGAGGTATACTAGTTTTCTATTCATGTAACAAGTTACCCAATCCCAGTGGCTTAAAACAGCATGGGTTAATTTTATTACAGTTTTGAAAATCAGAAGTCTGAAACCTGTCCCAATGGGCCAAAGTCAAAGGGCTGGTAGGGCTGATTACTTCAGAAGACTCTAGTGTCAAATTGGTTTCCTTAATTTTTGCAGCTTTAGAGACAGCTTATACTCCTTGGTTCAAGGCCCCTTTTTCCATATGCAAAGTCAGAAGGTGGCATCTTCTCAGCTATCATTCCTACATCTTCTCTTTCTAACTCTCTTGACTCCATCTTAGAAAGACTTTTGTGATTATATTGGTCCTGGTGGGATCATCTGGGATAAACTTCCCATATCGAGATCCTTAATTTAACCATAGCTACAAAGTTCTGTGGATCCCCCAGCCCTCCTTGTTCTTAGGATTTTGCTTGGCACCTAAAGTTGTTGCTGGTTAAGCTAAATGTAGAGTCAGACAGGGAGCTTCTCACCAAGAAGAAAGTCTTGTTGTGAGGATATCTGGAGAAAACAGCAGATATTATGGGCAGATATTATGGCAGACATTATGATTATGGCCAGATTAAGTGTAAACAAGGACTAGAGACAGGCTGTTTTGATCAGCAACAAGAATGGACACCCCCCCATCCCCCCACCCCCAAACAATGGCCCCTACTCATGCTCCCCTATCTTGTGCCAGACTATTATGCATCCCCAATCCACATCCTCTCCAAGCACATTCCTCCATGGACTTGCCCACCTTCCCTGAATCTGATACCAAAGAGATGTGAGACTGGCCTGGAATTTGACACTATATCTCCAGAGATGTAGCCCCTCTAGGTCTCTCTCTCTCTCTCTCTCTCTGTCTCTCTCTATCTCTCTCTCTCTCTCTCTGGACTTTCAATTATTTTTCCTCCATCCCATGCCACTCCCAAGATTGCCACTCCACAGGTGACAAAGTCCCTTTTGCCAGAGAAGATAATGTGCATAGGTTCTAGAGCTTAGCACATGGACTTTGTTGTGTGACATCATTTAGCTACCACAGGGAAATAAAAAGAGTCAGTATTTCATAAAGTGTAGGCAATAACTCAGGATTTGATGATACAAGTAGGGGGTTACTAACATTTGATTTGAGACCTTGGGAATGCCCAAACCCTGCCTTTTCTTCTTCTAGTCTCTGCCCTCATCTAAAGTAGCTATACACAACAGGAAAAATAGCACCTGAGTCTCAATGTCCTGTCTTATTTTTAGTTGAGTCTGTGCCCAGTTATCTACTCCTTCTCAAGCACCAATTAGGAACACAGCTAAGGTTGAGTAACATTCCAGAGTTTAAGCTCAAGGTCTGAGAGGAATATTTCCCTTCCCTTCTAATACCACTTTCAACATTATAGGAAAGTCATATGGATATCTGGGGTTACCTGCTGATTAATATACATCATGACATCAGTGTATTCATTTTTCACTCATCAAATTATCTGTTTCTCCTCCTGGAGTTGGATTTCTTTCCTTCTTTCATTTCATCTTATTGATTTATCTTTAATGATATTGATATAACATTGTTTTTTCCTCAGAGGAGGAGACTTGCTACATGGAGTGCAGGTACAAAACCAAAAGGTGTAAAGGTGATGGGTGCTATGAGGATAGTGGATTGGAGAGTTTCCACCTACAAAGAAAAGATTAATGGAGAGATATAAAAATTGTACAAAATGGGATTTCAGCTTATTATTTCTTTTTTTTTTTTTTAAAGTTTTTTTGTTACAAGTTTTTTTTTATACAAGCACTGAGTACAGTCAGAAACGCGGGACGGTGAGAGAATTCACCAGAGCCAGAGCCGGGAGCAGAAAAGGCAGACTGACGAAATACACTTGCTGAGGGGAGCAGCAGGCACGGCAGGAGAGGTCTGCGCATCATGTGGGACATTGCTGGTGGCCGGGGATTGAACCAGTGCTGCAGAGGCTGCGAGCCCCTTCACAGCCCAGCGCCCTACCACGGCGCCACCAGGGAGGCCCTCAGCTTATTCTTTCTGATATCAATATAACACATGTTGAGAATTTGCTGTCATTGGCATTAGCTCTGTCATTGGCATCTCACAGTACTATCTTAAGGGGTATGTGTTGTTATTTCTATTTTATAAAACAGGAAATTAATGTAGCTTACTCCAGGTCACACAGATAGTAGATGATGTGGTTAATATTGCAACCTAAGTCTGTCTTTACATGTACTATAGTTTCTCTTTCCCTTATACAAATAGTTTCTCCCAAATCATAGGCATAAGAATAATAGTCATCTTGATTTTCATCCACTCAAGCTACATAGGCTTCCAGCTTTTGGTCAGAGGATGCTATTATAGTAAGTCTCTGCCTCCTGAGCAGGCCAGTGGGAAAGGCTTTTCTCCTGGGGATCCTTACTTCTATGTTCCATCCCTACAATGAAGCTCTGTGTGGTGTGGCAGCCAAAAACTCTCTGAATAACTACATAAACATTGTGCTTTCTAGCATCGTGACAATGCCACTTCAAGTTTCAGTGAAGAAAACCTCATCTTTTGCACCATGGACCTCTTCTTTGCTGGAACAGAGACAACTTCAACGACGCTGCGTTGGGCCCTGCTTTACATGGCCCTGAACCCCGACATCCAGGGTGAGTGTTCCTGGGCCAAGACAGAAAGGGGCTTTCTGGGCCAGACTGACTCAACATTTGTGCCAGAGGAGAGCACAGTGCAATAGAGAGAAAGGTGGGACAGTCACAAGGCAAAGGAGACTCAAGGGCAGGCCCATCCTTCAAGTTTCCTCTCAGGATTGTGAAGGATCCACATAATAACAGGAATAACAAAGCCTTTGCCATCAGGAAACTCAGATTCTAGTGGGTCAAACAATGAAGACAATGTGGTGAGTTCCAGGAAAAGCTGTATTTTCACATGAAATCAGGTCAGATAACTTTCTCTCCTTTTAGTTATGTCTTCCATGGTCCTGTGGATGAAGTTCAAAGTCCTGTGCCTGATATATCATATTCTCTGATGTCCGTCTTCCTGCCTATCCAGCCTCAACTCCATCTGCCCTGCAGAGTGGCCTCACTAAACTACCTGTCCTTTCCTCTGCTCTTCCTGTATTTACACCTCTGTGCCATCACATCTGTTCTTCCCTCCACCAAAGATGCAGTTCCCTAATTTCTCTACATGGTCAAGTGCTGGCTCTGCATGAAGAATCTGCTTAAATACAAACTTGTCTGATATACAGCTCCACTCCTGTAGGAAAAACTAGCATTTGCTTCTTCTATAGATGACCTAATTCACCTCTGTTATTCTGCTCATCACATGTTATTCATACATCTGCCCCAGGGATTGCAGGCCATTCAAGGACAGGGTCTATTATAATCATTTTTCTTTCTCCACATCCCAGAATGGTTTGAGCACTTGAAGGAATGGGATTGTTAAGAGATAGTTTTTTAAACTGTAGTGACTGCTTATTAATGGGAATTGTTTCAGTAAAACAAGATTAACTTTATTCCCTAAAATAAAAATAGAAAAGATCAGTCTTTGCCATGTACTAAAGATAGTCTGTCCATGAAACTGCATATAGTATGTGTGTATTCTAAGTCATGATACAAAACACATTTGTTTTTTTTTTTAAAGATGTATTTATTTATACAAGAACCGAGGTACAGGCCAGATGTGCAGGAGGGTGAGAGAATTCACCAGAGACAGAGAGGGGAGCAGAACAGGCAGACAGAGCAGCGGGCAAGACAGGAGAGGTTTGCCACGCCATGTGGGTATCTCCCTGGCTGGCCGGGAATCGAACCCACACTGCAAAGACTGCGGATAGCTTCACAGCGCTGCACTCAACCCACTGCACCCACTGCACTTGTAACTGAATTATATATTTAAAAAATTTAAAAGCTAGGCCTCCCTGGTGGTGCAGGAGGTTGAGCGCCGCACTGTGAAGCTGTCCGCAGCCTCTGTAGCATGGGTTCAATCCCAGCCGGCCAGCGAGAATCCCACATGTTGAAGCAAACCTCCCCTGTCTCGCCCGCTGCTCCCTTAAGCAGTGTATTCCTTTAGTCTGCCTGTTCTGTTCCCTGCTCTGTCTCCAGTGAATATTCTCACCCTCCCATGCATCTGGCCTGTGCCTCAGTTCTTGTATAAAAATAAATAAATCTTTTAAAAAAAAGTTTACAAGCTATCATGTTTGGATATAGACTTGCTTCTGTAATAGAAGCTCCAAAATAACAGTGACTTAAGATAATACAACTTCCTACCACATTCATACCAGGATTATTTACATTAGTTAAAAAAGTGTAAAAATTTACATTAGTTAAAAAGTGTAAATAGCCTCAGTGTTCATCCATGGATGAATACATAAACAAAATGTGGAATACAGTGGAATATTACTCGGCTTTAAAAAAGAAGGAAACTCTGACATGTGCTATAATGCAGATGAGGCTTGAGGATATTAAGTTAAATAATCCAGTCACAAAAAAGACAAATACTGTATGCTCCACTTGCATGACATCTAGAGTAAAATCAATAGAAACAGAAAGTAGAATTATGGTTGCCAGAGGCTGGGATATAAGAATTATTTCATGGATGTAGTTTTAGTTTAACATGATAAAAAAGTTCTGGAGATTCGTTGCTCAATAATGCTAATATACTTAATACTGTTAACGGTATGGTTAAAACTTATTGAAATGATACCTTTTACGTTTTGTGTAGTTTACTATCATTAAAAATATTTCAATGGGTAGTTTAAAAAGACAGAAGTTCATTTCTGTTTCAGGTAGAAAATCTAAGCTGGACTCTGAAGAGTCCTTTGGGTTGTAGGCTCCTGCCAGTTTGTTGCCCTGGTGTATTTAGAATATTTCCCTGGCGGGGAATTTCAAAGATCACTCACCACTGGGGCTGCCTTTCCACTAGTAAGAAGGGACAGAGAGGAAGGAAGCACACTCCCTTCCTTTAAAAGCTTAATGTAAGTATTACAATTTGCAATTAATAGGTATGCTCTATTCGCCAGAACTTAGTCATGTGGTCCCATTTAGTCACTGCGAAACCCGGGAACTGTGGACTTTGGCTGGGAATGAGCTAAAATCTTGTTGTTGGAGAGAAACAGGAAAGGTGATTTGGGTGAAAATTAGCAGTATTACTCATTTGTTGGCTCTTCACTTAAGTCAGTTCATGTAAATCTCAAAATATCCTTAAGATGAAGGTAGATTTATTGTCACTCAGAAGAAGAAACTAATTCTCAAAGACTTTAAATAACTTGCAGCAAGAATGTTGTAGAGCAAGAGTTTATAAAGATTTGTCTTACACCAAGGCCCTCTTTCCACTCATATTTCCCACAGAATCTAGAGTCTACACAACCTTCTATAATTTTAGCTATGTTGATTGATTCTGGTTATTCCATTCCTAGCTTTACCAGTATCACAGAATGTTAAGGAATAATAAGAATAATAGAAGCTTCTCTTATTTTCCAGTAAAAGTACACGCTGAAATCGACAGAGTGCTTGGCCAGTCCCAGCAGCCGGGTATGGCTTTCCGAGAGTCCATGCCCTACACCAACGCTGTCGTCCACGAGGTGCAAAGAATGGGGAACATTTTGCCCATGAACGTGCCCAGGAGAGTGTCAGCAGATACCACCCTGGCCGGATACCACCTGCCCAAGGTGAGCAGGGTTTACCAGCCTCAGAGCTTTACATTCATCTTTAAATGGTAGCAATATGAACTTGAAAATTGAGATGTAGTCATGTATAAAGGAATCAATGAAAGAGGAGAGAACTATATTCTACCCGATATAAGAGTAGGGTCTTTTTCTCCATGTGTGAGCTTTTAAACATTACATTCAACTAGATATTTACAGTTTTGATGGAGGGCAAAGAGGGTTCCTCTTAGGATTCCAAACATGTTCAGGCAAAAGGTGGCTTTATTGCAGTGGAACTTTCAGGGTTTTGTGATTCTTTGTGGAGATAAGGCAGAGTTCTCAGTGAGACTGTTTTTTTTTTTGTTGTTGTTGTTTGTTTGTTTGTTTGTTTTCCCTATGCCCTGGAGGGCACCTCACAGCCCCAGAGACCTGCTAGACTTACTACAGAAATTCTGTTTCACGATGCTGGGTTATAAAGTATTAAAATAAACAGGGACATTTCAGACCATTTGTACCAATATCAAATGCTGGAGTTTCTAACATGATACCCCACAAGAATTCTCCCAGCTTTTACTTACAACCCCATGAAGTACTGCTCCACAAGGGAAACTGATCTAAGTGTGGACAGTATTACTTAAAGGAAGGGAGAGAAAGAAACCAGTAGTAATTAAGTGGTGGTGATGTACCATCAACTATATATATTCTTTAAAAAATGTCTTCATTAATCCTTATAATAATTCTATAATTCCCCTTTTATAAATTGAGAAGCTGGGGCTCTGGGAGTGATTAGCTTGCATAAGCTCTCTCAACTACCAAGTAACAATAGCTGGGTTCAGAATCTGTTCTTTCCTGATTCCCAGGCTCCACTTCTTTATTCTCCATCATGTTATCTCCACAGGAGTTGCTTTCTTTGATTTTCAGGAGTCTCCATGCCATTTTTTCTCATTTGATCTGTATTAAATCCCCTGTCCTCAGCAAGGAAATGCGGGCCTCTCTGCACACCCTAGCCTCCTCATCTCCACGGATGTCTCCACAGATGTCCTGTCTGCACACTGCACATCAGCAGGATCTTCTCACTGCCTTGGCCTGCCTTTCTGGGTCCATTCCAGCTTTCCCAAGTCCCTCTGAGTGTGTCACACCTGGGTACAGCCTCAAGGGTAGGAGCCAGAGGAGCTAGCCTGTTGGACTACCCTGGGTCAAAATTCCTGCCCAGCCAGGAAAAGCAGCTACTGTGGCAATTAATTACCTTGTGGGTGGAGGCTGAGGTCTAAATTATTCCACAGGTTCTATTTACATTTTCCTAGTGACTCATTTAACTCTAGGGAACCTGCGCAGTTCAACAGATTACTTCTACCACAGCTTTTTTTTTTTTTTTTAAAGATTTATTTTTTTATACAAGAACTGGGGTACAGGCCAAAGATGCAGGTGGTGAGGACTCACCAGAGCAGAGCGGGGAACAGAACAGGCAGACGGACTGAAGGGGAGCAGCGGGCGAGACAGGAGAGGTCTGCCTCGCCATGTGGGATTCTCGCTGACCGGGCAGGATCGAACCCGCACTGCAGAGGCTGCGGACAGCTTCACAGTGCGGCGCTCAACCACCTGTGCCACCAGGGAGGCCCCTACCACAGCTTTTTAACATCAACTTGAATAACCATCCTGGGAACTGAGAGATCTAATTGACTGTATGTTGTAGAAGTTGAGAGCCATAATTTTGACATCAAATAGACAAATAGACCTATTTTAAATCATGGCTATGTTTCTCCCACTGTATGATTCTGGGCATATTGATTAACGTCTCAGGGTTTCAATGTCTTTATTTGTAAAATGCATTTAAATCTACCTCACTTGTGGAGGTAAAATAAGGTCATGCATGTAAGAACATTTAATCCAGTGCTTATCATAGAAAGTACTCAAAATAACAGTTATTACTCTTTAGTATTCATCAAGCTCCTGAAGTGCTCAGAGCTAGAAAACAACCCTAAGTAAATAATTGTGCAAGTCCACACTTTCAAACCATGATAACCGACCGAAAACAAACACCCACTGCTTCCATAAAGATATTGGCTAACCAGAGTGGGGTTAGGGGTGGTGGGGGGTCAGATTAGGGTACCAAAGGGAAGTGATGCTTGAGCTGAGGGGGATTAAGTGTTAACTTAGAGCCAAAGGAGGGAGGAAAGACACTCCAGGCAAGGTGAACAGCATTTAAAAGGCATGGAAATGAATGGAAACATGGCGTGTTTGAGAAACAGAAAGAGGTCTGCCTGAGGTGGGCACATACGCAGGTTCTCCTGTTTAGACAGGACAGGTGAGGGGCTCTAATCTAAGAGTGATGAGTAGGTATTGAAGGCTCTCAAGATCAAGGTGTGCATGGGTGTGACATGAGTAATCATGTCCAGAGCACGCTCTGCTGTCAGAGTGCAGAGCAGATTGAAAGGGAAAAGGGAATGGGGACATTTGATGACTATTACAGGAGTAGAGGCGAGCAAGGTGGTGGGCAGGGCTAAGTGAGCAGTGGCGGACAAAGAATGGAGGTGATGGAATCTAGAGAAACTAAAGTAACATGGGCCAGCCTCGCTGCAGGACCTGAAGACATAGTGAAGGAGGGGAGGGGCTCGTGGCTGAGAGGGCGCCTACTTTGCTATGTGCCCTGATGGACGGCAGTCCCGTTCCCTGGGCAGCCTGATTCCTTCTTGTGGTGTGTACATGACATTGGATGGGAGAGAAGGGGAGAAAGAGATGAATGGGCTATATCTGCCCTTGGTAGAGCCGCCAAAGTTAGCACTTGCCTGAGTAGAGCAGCAGGATTGATTTCCTGTAGTGTTGACTGGCAGATGGCAGTGTGCATGCCCCTCCCAAGTCTTCCACTGACATGTCCCTGTGAATAAGATCCAGCCTGTTGGCAAGGGTAGCCAAACTCCCTGATCAATTTCCCAGCAGGCAATTGCCGTCCATCGTTATATAGCAAAGAGCAGGGTCCTGAGGATCAGCCTCAGCAGGCTGGCAGCCAAGGGACAGCCACCCCTCTGTGCTAGGTGTGTGGGGAGGGAACCTTGCCTGAGTCTTTGCTCCCTCCTCTAGGGAACCATGATCCTCACCAATCTGACTGCACTGCACAAGGACCCTGAAGTGTGGGCCACGCCTGACAAGTTCAACCCGGAGCATTTTCTGGAGAATGGACAGTTTAAGAAAAAGGAATCCTTCCTGCCTTTCTCAGTAGGTAAGCTGTAATAAAGGAGTGTGACAAATCAGAGTTCTTCTCTCAGCTCTTCCCCGCTCGTGTCATTCTCTGCTTTCATCGAAATGTCTCCAGCCGCACTCCCCCTCGAGGCTCCCTCTGCTGTTCCCCGCTTCTCAGGGTTGATTCCTGGGCTGGATGTTGCTCAGGCTGCCTCACTTCTTAAAATCTCCCTGCCTGTGATGGAGACTGCTGATACACTTTGTTCTGTCTTCTAGAACACAGGGACAGAGACTCAGATCCCACCTCTAGCTCACAAAGAAAGCTGGACACTTGCTATCTTTCTAGGACTTTTAAATGGAGCTGATTTATAATAACAGGATGAGGAAGGGATAAAAGAATGGGCAATCGCTCATCATTCTGGACATTGTAGTGACTTTATGTGTCACTGATCTAACTAGGTGGGATTCTTCTCTAAGCAGTCCCCGAAGAGGTTCTTTTGTCTTTTTACATTTTAATGCCCTTTAAAATCTAGTTAATGCATTTATATAGTGTGCAATTAGAAAGGTATGAAAGAAGATTCCATGAGAACCCCCATTTCTAAGAAAGGCTGTTCAAGGGAAGGCTGACTCAGTTGCCATGGAGAGGGCCCTCTGTGTCCCCTGAAAATGAGAAGGTGGAAACAAGCAGAAGGCTCACCGAGGAGACAGAGGTAAGCTGGGAGGCTTGCCCATGCCGGGCGCCTTCTAGCCTGCAGTTCCAACCCAGAAGGGAGCAGCAACCACCGCTGGGGCAGACCAGGCGTGCAGGGGAGCGCGTCCCTGGCACCGGCATTTTGCAGCAGGGACCTTTCTTGGTGGAGACTGTGTGAAACAAGCAGAAGGCTCACCGAGGAGCCAGAGGTAAGCTGGGAGGCTTGCCCATGCTGGGCGCCTTTTAGCCTGCAGTTCCAGCCCAGAGGGGAGCAGCACCCACCGCTGGGGCAGACCAGGAGTGCAGGGGAGCGCGTTCCCGCATCCTCATTTTGCAGCAGGGACCTTTATTTGGTGGAGACTGTGTGAAACAAGCAGAAGGCTCACCAAGGAGCCAGAGGTAAGCTGGGAGGCTTTCCCATGCCGGGCGCCTTCTAGCCTGCAGTCCCAGCCCAGAGGGGAGCAGCACCCACCGCTGGGGCAGACCGGACCTGCACGGGAGCATGCCCGGCACCGGCATTTGCAGCAGGGACCCTTCTTTGGTGGAGACTGTGTGAACCCAGCAGAAGTTCCCCAGAGGAACCAGAGGTGAGCTGGGAAGGTCGCCCAAGATGCCGGCCAGTACCAGCAACACAGTGTCACAAGGAATAAGGCAAATTAGAAAACAGGCAGTAGGGAGTAGAAAAACCACATGCAACCCAGCAACTCCTCAGCAAAAAAGCACACCGCAAAAAGAAAACCATCTACCAGATTGCAACGACAGTAACTTGGAAGAACTTCTGAGCCTTCCAGATAGAGAATTTAAAATTGCTGTGATTAAAAAACTGACAGAAGTCATAAAGGAAAACAATGATAAGGGGAAAATAATTAATGACCATAAGAATGAAATTGAGTCCCTAAAGAGGGAAGTAAAAGAAACGCAGGAGATCAAAGAATTAATGGAGATGCTAAAGAACTCTGGGAAAAGCAATGAAAGCAGAATAGATGAAATGGAAGAACGAATAAGTACTCTTGAAGACACAGAAATAAAAAGAACTAAAACAGAAAAGGAAGGAGAAGTACGAAGGAAAAAGACCGAAGAAAGACTTCGGGAACTATCTGACTCCATGAGGAAAGGAAATATAAGAAGTATAGGAATCCCAGAAGGAGAGGAGAGAGATGTAGGAACACAGAAAATATTCAAGGATATAATTGAAGAGAACTTCCCAAACGCGAAGAAGGAGCTGAAAATTGATATACAAGAAGCAAGAAGAACACCAAAATTCCATGACGAAAGGAGAAATACAGCAAGACACATAAGAGTAAAGCTCCCAAGAATCCAAGACAAGGAAAAAATAATGAAGCTGACAAGAGGGAAGAAACAGATAACATTCAAAGGGAAACCAATCAGACTGACATCAGACTTCTCTGAAGAAACACTACGGGCAAGGAGAGAGTGGAGGGACATAGGCAACAGACTCCAAGAAAACAGATGCCAACCAAGAATACTCTATCCCGCGAAGCTCTCCTTCCTCTATGAAGAAAGAATAAGGACCTTCCCAGACAAACAGAAACTCTGGAATTTTATTACGACTAAACACCCACTCCAAAAAATACTACAAGGAGTCCTAAAACCAGAACCTCAGAGGGACGAATAACAACAAAAGAAGGCCAAAGAAAGTTAATAAATAAATAAAATCAAAGGAAAGACAAACACAATGGCAAATACAGATGCTAACATATCAATACTAACTCTAAATGTAAATGGACTAAACTCTTCAATAAAAAGACACAGAGTTGCAGGCTGGATTAAGAAACAAAACCCAACCTTTTGCTGTCTCCAGGAAACACATTTAGCTGCAAAAGATAAAAATAGACTCAAAGTTAAAGGATGGAAAACAATTCTACAAGCAAATGGACCAAAAAAGAAGGCAGGAACAGCTATACTCATATCAGATAAAACAGATTTCAAACTTAAAAAGATAAAAAGAGACCCCAGTGGTCATTACATTATGATCAAGGGGACAATACTTCAAGAAGAAATAACACTCATTAACATATATTCACCAAACAAAGGAGCACCAAAATATATCAGACAACTATTGGCATCTCTGAAAACAGACATCAGAGAAAACACATACGTAGTGGGAGACTTCAACACACCACTATCAACAATGGATAGATCAACAAGACAAAAAATAAGTAAAGACACTAAAGCTCTAAATAAGGATCTAGAGTGCTTGGGCTTAACAGACATATATAGAACACTAAACCCAAAAAAAATCTGAGTATACATTTTTCTCAAGCGCACACGGATCATTCTCCAGGATCACTCATATACTGGGGCACAAGACAAACATCAACAGATACACCAAGATTGAAATCATACCAACCATCTTTTCTGACCATGAAGGCATCAAACTAGAAATAAACCATAAAAAGAAGGCAAGTTACTCTCCTACCTCGTGGAGATTGAAACCCACACTACTGGAAGTCCACTGGACTAACGAGGAGATAAAAGAAGAAATTAAAAAATTCTTTGAATTGAATGACAAGGAGGACACCAATTTCCTAAATAATGGGATGCAGCAAAAGCAGTAATAAGAGGAAAATATATAGCAATAGAAGCTCACATCAAGAAACAAGAAAGAACTCAAAGAAACAACCTAATCTCGAAGCTCAAAGATCTAGAAAAAGAACAACAAAAAAAACCCAAAACCAGTAGAAGAAAAGAAATAATAAAAACCAAAGCAGAAAAAAATGAAATCGAAACTAAAAAAACAATCCAAAAGATCAATGACACCAAGAGCTGGTTCTTCGAAAAAATAAATAAAATAGATAAACCCCTAGCCAGGCTCACAAGGGCAAAAAGGGAGAAAGCACAAATAAATAGGATAATAAATGAAAGAGGAGAAATCTCAACGGTCACAGCAGAAATCAAAAGAATAATTAATAACTACTATGAACAGTTATATGGAAACAAGTTCAACAATCTAGAGGAGATGGACAAATTCCTACAACTCTACAATCACCCAAAGCTAGATAAAGAAGAAATAGAACACCTAAACAGACCAATTACAATTAGCGAAATTGAAATGGTAATCAAAAACCTCCCCAAAAACAAAAGCCCAGGACCTGATGGATTTACAAATGAATTCTACCAAACATTCAGAGACGAATTAGTGCCTATCCTTCACGAACTCTTCCAAAAAATTGAGAAGGAAGGTATAATACCTAACACGTTCTATGAAGCCAACATTACACTAATACCAAAACCGAACAAGGACAACACAAAAAAGGAAAACTATAGGCCAGTCTCCCTAATGAACACTGATGCAAAAATCCTCAATAAAACTTTAGCTATCAGAATCCAACAGTGTATCCATAAGATAATTCAACACGACCAAGTAGGATTCATTCCAGGGACACAAGGATGGTTCAACATCGAAAATCAATCAACGTTATCCAACACATCAACAAAAAGGAATATAAAAACCATATGATAATATCAATAGATGCCGAGAAAGCTTTCGACAAAGTGCAACACCCATTCATGATAAAAGCCCTTGAAATTCTTGGGATACAAGAAACATACCTCAACATCATAAAGGCCATATACGACAAGCCAACAGCCAGTATCATTCTCAATGGTGAAAAGCTGAAAGCATTTCCATTAAGATCTGGAACAAGACAAGTATGTCCACTCTCACCACTGCTTTTCAATACAATACTGGAAGTCCTAGCCAGAGCAATAAGACAAGAGAAAGACATACAAGGAATCCAAACAGGAAAAGAAGAAGTCAAACTATCACTATTTGCAGATGATATGATAATTTACATAGAGAACCCCAAAAACTCCATAGAAAAACTAATTAGACTCATCAATCAGTTTAGCAAAGTGGCAGGATAGAAAATCAACATGCAAAAGTCAGAAGCCTTCCTATACACTAACAATAAATCTGAAGAAGAAGAATGAAAAAAACAATCCCCTTTATTATCGAAACAAAATAAATCAAATACTTGGGAATAAATCTAACAAAAGAGGTAAAGGACCTTTACAAAGAAAACTATAAAACACTGTTAAAAGAAATAGAAGAAGATACAAAGAAATGGAAAGACATCCCCTGCTCATGGATTGGAAGAATAAACATTATTAAAATGGCCATCCTACCAAAAGCAATATACCGATTCAATGCTATTCCAATAAAAATTTCAATGTTATTCTTCAAAGAAATGGAACAATTATTGATGAAATTCATATGGAATCACCAAAAACCCTGAATAGCCAAAGCTCTCCTGAAAAAAAAGAAGGGAATGGAGGCATCACACTCCCAGAGTTCAGGCTATACTACAGAGCCATAATCATCAAAACTGCATGGTTGGAACAAGAACAGACACACAGACCAATGGAATCGAATAGAAAATCCAGAAATAAACCCACAGATTTATGGTCAACTAATATTTGACAAAGGAGCAAAGAATATGCATTGGAGCAAAGAAAGTCTGTTCAATAAATGGTGCTGGGAAAACTGGGTCGCTACATGCAAAAGAATGAAGCTTGACCACTACCTCACACCATACACAAAAACCAACTCAAAATGGATTAAAGAACTAGACATAAAACCTGAAACCATAAAATACATAGAAGGAAATATAGGCGAAACACTACGGGATATGCACATCAAAGACATCTTTACAGACACATCATCCAAAGCAGTGATAGTGAAGGCAAAGATAAACAGCTGGGACTACATCAAATTAAAGAGCTTCTGCACAGCAAAAGAGACAATAACACAAACAAAGAGAAACCCCACCAACTGGGAGAACATTTTTGCACACAACACTAATGATAAATGATTGATTACAAAAATCTGCAAAGAGCTGATGAGACTCACAACAACAAAGAAAATAATCCAGTGAAAAAATGGGCAGAAGAGCTAAAAAGAAACTTCTCTGAAGAGGAAATGCAAATGGCCAACAGGCATATGAAAAAATGTTCAACATCACTTGTAATCAGGGAAATGCAAATCAAAACTACCATGAGATACCATCTTACACCAGTGAGAATGGCACATATTAAAAAAACTAGCAACAACAAATGTTGGCGAGGGTGTGGAGAAAAAGGAACTCTCCTGCACTGCTGGTGGGAGTGCAAACTGATCCAACCACTATGGAGAGCTGTGTGGAGATTTCTGAACCTACTAAACATAGAGCTTCCATATGATCCAGCAATTCCACTCCTAGGTATTTACCCAAAGGACACAGAAACATCAATTCCAAAGAACACCTGCACCCCTATGTTTATAGCAACACTGTTTACAATAGCTAAGCTTTGGAAACAACCCAAATGCCCAAAAATAGATGACTGGATCAAGAAGATGTGGTACATATATACCATGGAATATTACTCAGCATTCAAAAAAGATAAACACATGCAATTTGCAGCAACATGGATGGCACTGGAGGGATCATGCTCAGCAAAATAAGCCAGAAAGAAAAAGAAAAATACCGGATGGTCTCACTCATAGCAGGTATCTAGAAAACTTAAATAAGGGACCAGGAAAATGAATAACTATAAGAAAGTGAAAATCAAAATCAACAAAATTCTATGAACCAGAGACACTTTTGGGGAGGGTGGGTGGCGGGAGGGGTGGGATTGGGGTCAAAATGGGGGGTTGAAATTGTATGGGGAATATAAAAATAAAATTTATTATTAAAAAAAAAAAAAAAGAAAATGAGAAGGTGAACATAGCATTGGGGAGCGATGCCTTCTCCCAGACCTGACATTCACTTGCTCATATTTTTGGGTAGTTTTCTTTTAAGAGCTGAAAAATAGTAACATAGAGTTTTGTAATCTGGTTTTGACATTGTTATTTGTTCACTGATTTTTTTTTAATGATTTATTTATTCTTGTATGCAAGAACCGGGGTACAGGTCAGAGGTGGGGGAGGGGTGAGAGGCTTCACCAGAGACAGAGCAGAGAACAGAAAAGGCAGACTGACTGAAATACACTGCTGAGGGGAGCAGCGGGTGAGTCAGGAGAGGTCTGCTGCACCATGTGGATGGCTCCCTGGCCAGGGATCAAACTGGTGCTGCAGTCGCTGTGGATAGTGTCTTAACCCCTTGTACCGCCAAGGAGGCCCTGTTCATTGATTTTTAACACAGCCACTTTGCAGGTCAAGCCAGGCCTCACACTCCTTCGGTCCTGCACCCTGTACTTCATCCCATTTCACATGCATGATGCTGAGACATTGGAGTGTGAGTCCAACTTCCCCTAGGCACTGGTTAGATTAAATGAGCTACTCTGGATAATGCCCCAGGGCCTAGCAGGCCATCCCTCTGCTTTGTTAAGCAAAAGATTTTAGAAGGTCTCAATCCTGCCAGGACCTTCATCACCAGGGAAAACTGACCTCTTATTTATTTTTCTGTCTTTCAGGAAAGCGGGTGTGTCTGGGAGAACAGTTGGCCAGAACTGAGTTGTTTATTTTCTTCACATCCCTTATGCAAAAATTTACCTTCAAACCCCCTGACAATGAGCAGCTTAGCCTGAAGTACAGAATGGGCCTCACCGTCGCCCCAGTCACCTACCGCATCTGTGCTGTGCCTCGGACTTGAGGTGCTGGGAGGGAGAGGTACAGAAACAAGAAGAATGGCATGTCCTCTGAGGCACTGTGCCTGCTCAGAAGTGAGGGCACGGATGAAAGTGGCAGTCAGGAAAGATGGGAGAAGTTGGATTCAGAGGAAACAGAATCCAAATTCCAGCTTTGGCATCACCTCCAGCAAAACCTTGCACAAATCACTTATGCCATGAATGATGTAGCTTTTCTTCCAGGCGATGAAAAGACAATGATTCCTTCTCTAATTGAAGCTTCACTATAAGAATCAGAGGAAATAGTGGATTTAAATTGGGAATCTATAAAGCATCTGTAGGGTAAGGTAAAAAGTATCAGGCTTTTCTGCCCTCCCGCCATCAGGACAGATGATGGATCCTTGCGATCCTGAATGCATGCCTGATGGCGGGCACCTGGAGTAGGGTGTGGGCATATGTAGATGGGATTCACCTGGGCTGAAACTGGGCTTTTAAGAGCGGCTTTTAAGGGACGCCAGCAGAAGCTGAGAAAGAAGCCGAGGAGCAGAGAAGCTGAGAGAGAAGGAGAGCCATGAGAAGAGCAGAGAGAACGTGAGAGAAGGTCGGAGAGCCCAGAGTGAAGACTTGCTGGGGCCTGGGAGGACTGCCATGTACCCGGTAGTTCCCAATAAAAGCCTGCAAAAGCCACTGAGGGCTCAGGACTCCCTCCTCCTTTACCCCGTCTGCTGGGTCAGAAAACCTGCTCAGTGGCCTGTCCTGCCCCTCCAGCATATCATGAGTCATGGCTGGAATCTGCCTCCTTCCTTCCTAAGATGTGGCAAGGCTTCTGGCCTGTTGCAGTGGCTCAGGTTAATCTTAAAAATGAAATCACAGTATCTTTATTACACTAAAAACAAGTTAACAACAATCCCTTAAGATGAGAGGTGCAGCTTTCTGGACCCCAGCCCTGACTCCCTGACAGGGGCTGTCGGGACCCAGGGGCCCAAGGGAGTCACCAGGCCACAGAAAGACTGACACAGGTGGGCTGCTCTGTCTTGTTTGGGTTCTGATGGCGCCCGTGTCTCCTCTCAGCTGAGGCTGGTGAATTCTAACAGGGGAGGCGCCACATATCCTGCCCCATCTGTGGGAGGGTGGAGCTGAGGAAGGGTGGACGCTAAGGGGAACTTGGGAGAAGGCCTGAGGAGGAGAGGAGCAGACATGTGAGAGGCCGCGCTCGCTTCCTGGCCTTGGACTTGCACCAGACTTGGGGGACACAAAAGGAGACGATTGGAAGAGACGTGAGAGACTCGTGAGGAGGCTGACAACAGCGGCCGTTTCCTGGCTTGTGCTTTGGTTTGGCTCCTTCCAGACTTACCTGGCCCCTTCTGCCTCTTTCTCATAGTTCCCCACCAAAGGAGCCTTACACTTGTGGCAAGCTTTTGGGCCTCAGCTGCCCTGCTTGGGGCGTTTACCCTCGAGGGAATGGGTAACCTGGGGTTTCATGGGCAAACTTTTAACTATATTCTCTGCTCTCTACGCTATTAAAGTTCTTTTCAAGTATGTTTGTCTTTAAATAGTAGAACCTATATAAAGCGTGTAAGGTTTGGGGGTCTCAGGGTGCCCCTCAATTTGCCCCTTAGCCTGCCCACTGACACTGGAACAGCCTTCCGCCAATAAATTTCCCTTTTCTCATCAATCTGCGTTCCCTTTCTCACTCCTTATGTAATTAAATCCTTTAAGTTTTTTTTTTTTTCTCGGTGTCTGCATTTGGGGGGCCTTGTTCTGTATTCCTAAGCATGTGGTGAGGACTCAAATTGGGTCAACCCTTTCCCTTATGAGGACTCATAAACTGGGTCAGCCTTTCCCCTGTAACACTTCTTGTTTCCCATTTTGTATATTCCTCTGTGTTTGAGTCAGGATCTGTGTAAGGGAGGAAAAATAAGTTCTACTTTATTTTTGGGGCTTTTAAATTTTATTTTTATTTATGCATACAAGAACTGGGGTGTAGGCCAGAGGTGCAGGGGAGAAGGGGTGAGAGGATTCACCAGAGACAGTGGGGAGCAGAACAGGCACACTGACTGGAATACACTGCTGAGGGAACTGTGGGCAGGACAGGAGAGGTCTGTGCCATTTGGGTCAGCACCTTGGCCAGGGATCAAACTCATGCTGCAGTGGCTGGTGGCAGCTTGATAGAGCTGAGACTTAACCCCTTCCACCACCAGGGAAGCCCTCCTGTGGGGTTCTTAACTGAGACATTCCTGTCATAAAAGGCAGAAGAGTTGGAGAAAAATAAATCTTAATAGCATGTAGACGTCCTACATACATGATTGGGAAAGACCCAGGAAAACTGAAGAACCCACCAAAATGGCCTAAGTCACCTCTGAAAATAACATCTTCACGGCAGACAAGCACCAAGGCAGGGAGTCAGTTGTGGGAGAACACGGGATAGCCCAGCACCCAAAGGTGTGGTGGGTGTGCAGACTGAAGTGGCTGCTCCTCCCTTAATAAGGGTTAAAGAGACTTGGTCAATCCCTGCTAACTGTTAAAACCTGGGAGTCACTCTCACAAGTAGGGATTTTCCTTTATGCATATAAATGTGTCTTACAAAAAGGCAACTCCGCTCAACTGTTAGAGCTCTTCTATGCCTATTTCCCCAAAATTACCAGTAAAAAAATCCTCATATCAAAAGATATTTTGTGGCGTGGCAAATTTCTTCCCATGCAATCCAAACAGGTTCTACACCCCTGGATTCAATTAATATAATTGCTATGTCATTTCAGTCTCTTGATTACAAGATTACATGATCACAAGATTAAAATTTATCTTATAAATTCCCCCCTACCTTTTTTTTCTCCTTGACATATATCTGTTGAAGAAATGAAGCCATTTAAAAAAAAGAAAAAAAAAAATGAAGCCATTTATCCCATCCAGTTTCCTGCACTTGGAGTATTGATGGTTGTAGACCTACTGTGTCCTCAGCCTGCTACTCCAGTGAGCTTATTCATTTCCCCCTGAGCCCTAATTCACATTCAGGCTTAATTTTTTTTCCTGGTATTTGACTCTGACATTTGAACTTTTCTTCATTTAAGTGATTTCATTTACCAATGCCAGAGAGTAAAGTGAAGGGTTAAAAAAAAAAAAAGACTAAGTACTTGTCACCTTACTCCTGTTGATGAGAATTCGTAGGCCCAGGATGGAGGCAATCCTGCCCTGGGTGCCAGGTCAGTTCTGAATCTTCCTGTTCCTATAAATGTGATGCTTGACCACAAGGCAGCACATCCAGTCAGCTGACCTCCTGTAGGGTAAGGTATCAGGCTTTTCTGCCCTCCCGCCATCAGGATAGATGATGGATCCTTGCTGTCCTGAATGCAGGCCTGATGACGGGCACCTGGAGTAGGGTGTGGGCATAGGTAGATGGGATTCGACTGGGCTTTTAAGGGTGGAGTCCCAGGGATGCCAGCAGAAGCCAAAAGCGAAGCTGAGAGAAGCAGCAGAAGCCAAGAGAGAAGCAGAACGCCGGAGAGCCCAGATAGAGTGAAACCTGCTGGGGGCTGGGAGAACTGCCAGCCTCCCGGCCCCCCAGCACCCCTGCCTGCCAAGTACCCATTAAATCCCAATAAAAACCTGCAAAAGCCACTGAGGACTCTGACTCCTCCTTTACCCGGTCTGCTGGATCAGAAAACCTGCTCTGTGTCCATTCCTGCCCTTTACACCCCCACACACCAAGCCAGTTCTGGGCCTTCCACTGATTTCCTTGTTCTTTGAGCTTTTGAAATAATGTGAGATATTGGCAATCCCTACCAATCGTGCTCTATTCTGCATTTCCATCCCCAGCTCTCTCTCTAACTTTGTTTTTGCCCCAGATTTCTCAGGAATAGTGGCCCATTGCTTGTGAGCACTCCTTCCCACCCCCACCTCCAATCCACTGATTGCTTTCCCTTGAGTAAAGGGCATTGAGGTCATTTCTAAATGTTTTCATTTTGTGGCCTGGCCTGGCCTGGATCCCTCCCAGGTAGCAAGACTGCACTGTTTATTAGCTGTAAAACCTTGATAGAGTCAACTTCCAACTGAGCCTTGCAAGTCAGTCCTGGGGGCCCAACCACCTAGAACCTCAGCACCTCCTTCTCAGAGCAGCTCCCTGAGCCGCCCTGCCCTTGCGTCGTCAGCCTGGGTGAGAGTTTGGCCAATACTCAGCAGTCCAGTAAGTCCTGCTGGAATCTGATTTGGCAAGAGGAGTTTGCTCTCGCTCACTCATTCCTCTATTCAACACAAGCGTCTGTACCTGCTAGTCCTAAATCTAGGTACAGTGTGAAGAACAAGAAGTGAAGTCACTTTCAAATAAGGTCAGGACAGTTCTCCTGCCACCTGTTTCTTTGTACAAACCTTTTCTCTTTGCAGAGCAGGAGCATCTGCTTTTCCTGCCACTCTGTCTGCAAGCTTCTCTCTTTTTCCTTTTATAGTAAATCTGACCTTTTGGATATTAAAAATAAAATAAAAATAAGTTAAATAAAATAAGGTCACAAGGAGGAAGCAGCTGTTGCCATTAAGGCCATGGCCCAGCACCTGGCCCCCAGGGCGGGGTGGTGGCTGCAGTGATCTTGGAGCCCACAGAGGCCCCTTCAAAGCCTGGCCCTGGGTCCTTCTTGACTTCATCTTCAAGTCACAATTTGTCATTTTATTTTGGTTTCCCCCACCGCTTCAATTTTGGGGGGCCCCTACTCCTTTGCCAAGAGTTGAGTGAGGCCTTGGTGAAGCTGCCTCCTCTCCTTCCTTCCAATTACTGCCCAGGTTGGGGTGGGTGGGCGCTGTTTGTATTTTAGGTGGTGTTTTTTAGTTCAATCCAGAAGCAGAAAGCTGTGGTTCTGGCAAATGGGCCTTGTGCCTTTCCCCATGGAAGCCAGCCTGTTCCCATGCCCAGGTGTAGGGTAAGGAAAAAGTATCAGGCTTTTCTGCCCTCCCGCCATTAGGATAGATGAGGGAACCCTGCTGTCCTGCATGCATGCCTGATGGCGGGCACCTGAAGTGGGTACACCTGGGCTGAGAGACAGAGTTTATAAGGGCGGAGTCCTGGGGACTCCAGCAGAAGCCTAGAATGAACAGAAGCCAAGAGTGGGAGGAGGAGGGGAAGAGAAGGGGAAGAGGGAGAGGAGAGAGCCCAGATAAAGATTTGCTGGGGGCTGGGTGGACTGCCAACCTCCCAGACCCCCAGCACCCCTGCCTGCCATGTGCCTGGTAAATCTAAATAAAAGACCTGCAAAAACCACTGAGGGCTCT